GCCGAGCGAGCGAACCGCACAATCACGGAGGCGGCACGCGGGTTGCTCATTGAAGCCGGGCTACCCGACTATTTCTGGCCCGATGCGGTGCGGAGCGCGTGTGTGGCCAAGAACAGAGCCTTGAATCATGTGGGAGCAGACAAATGGGTGCCCTATGTGGAGTGGCTAGGAAGGAAGCCAAAGGTGGATATGCTTCGGGTGTTCGGGTGCATGTGCATGGCGCTCGTGCCTAAGCATCTTTGGCACAACAAGTTTGGTGCCAAGGCGGTGTGGGCCGTGCACTTGGGCATGGCTCAAAACAGCAAGGGATGGCTTCTTTGGGACCCATTCACCAAGAAGTTCTTGGTGAGCACGGGACTGCAAGTTCATGGAGAACTTCATGTACAAGGATTGGAAGGCGGAGAATGAGTCAAAGATAGGCGTGCGGTTTGGGGAAGTGAAGAGTTCCGGTTTGGAGCATGTGGAGCTGCCTTTGGAGCTGAGCAGTGGCAGCACAACCACGAGGCAATCCTCCCTTGTGAATGGGGGAGAGGAGGCCAATGATGCAGAGGAAGAAGAGGAGGAGGTGCAGCAAGTGAGTGAGCGTGCACCGTCACTCCCTTCACGTACTATGAGTGCTCCACGGATTCGAGCCACACCGCAGCAACACCAAGGCCTTCAAGTCACTGCAGCTGAGGAGGAAGGAAGGGGGAAGAGGAGAGTTCAACCCCCTAAAAGGCTGACTTATGATGAACTGGGAAAGCAGGGCAAGACAGCCCTGGCCGGAGCGGCAATGATGGTCGGAGACGACGAGGAGAGTGACTACGAGGAGTGTGCCTTCGCGTTCTTCTCTCCGGTGGAGATGCCGGGAGAACCAGCAACTCTCAAGGAGGCTTTGGAGAGTAGTGATGCTGAGGAGTGGAAGAAGGCCATGGAGAGTGAGCTGAAGAGCATCGAGGAGAATGACACGTTTGAATTGGTGGAGCTACCGGAGGGGCGTACGGCGATAACATCCAAGTGGCTCTTCAAAATCAAGTCGGATGCCGACGGCAAGATCGAGCGCTACAAGTCTAGGCTTGTAGCCAAGGGGTACCAGCAGAAGGAGAAGGTGGACTTTAAGGAGCTGTTTGCCCCTGTGGTGAAGCTGACGACGCTGCGAACCCTATTCGCGGGAGCCGCCATCAAAGGATGGGTAGTAAAACAAATGGACATCGTAACGGCATTCCTTAACGGCATCCTTGAGGAGGAGATTTTTATGGCACAGCCAGATGGGTTTTATGATGGTAGTGGCAGAGTGTCGAAGCTGAAGAAGGCCCTCTATGGGCTGAAGAAGGCCCCTAGGCAATGGTACATGAAGTTGCGCGAGTGTTGGAGGAGATCGGCTTCACTCCCTCAACGGCCGATCACTCCTTGTTCATGCTTGGCGAGGGGGAGCAGAGGAGCTTCATGGTGGTTTATGTGGATGACATTCTCATATTCTCACCCTCCTCTGAACTTGTGAAGGAGGTGATGTTGAAGCTGCATGACAAGTTCAAGTGCAAGTCCCTTGGTGACGTGAACTTCTACCTTGGGCTCCACATCGAACGAGACGTGGAGAAGCGGAGCATGCGAGTGCATCAACGGAAGTACCTGGAGGCATTGGCCGCCAAGTTCGGCCAGAGTGAAGGTCATGTGGCTACTCCCTTTCCCTCTGGGTTCAAGTGTGTGAAGGGGCCAGAGGAGGAGAGCGTTGGAGAAGAAGAGAGGCGCCGTTTTCACTCGTTGGTGGGCAGCCTCATGTATGCGGCGGCAAACACCCGACCGTACATCGCGTTTGCTACCGGGCAGCTGGCTAGGGTTGTGCAATGCCCTAATGAGGAGCAGGTAGCAGCTGGAATGAGGGATGGCCAAGTATCTTGGCCAAACACCGATCGTTGGGCTGCAATACTCGGCGGCGGCACAAAGGCGCCAAAAGGGCGCGGATGGTGTTGAACCCGGGCGTTTGTTCCTCACCGCCTACTCGGATGCTTCATATGCATCGGAACCAGAGGACATGACAAGTATGGGAGGCTTTATATGCTGTGTTGGTGGAGGCCCAACTGCTTGGGAGAGCAAGAAGCAGGTTGACCAAGCTTTGAGCTCGGTTGAGTCCGAGCACATGGCACTCTTTCGTGCCGTACGGGAGATTGTGTGGCAGCGGCGTTTGTTGGCTGAATTGGGGGAGGAGCAGCAAGAACCTACCCCACTCTACTGTGACAGCCAGGGTGCCATTGCTCTTGCTAAGAACCCTGTGTTGCATGGACTCACAAAGCACATGAGGGTGAAATGGCATTGGACGAGGAGTATGGTGACCGCGGGTGAAGTTGAGTTGCGGTACGTGAAGACCACGGGGCAGCCGGGTGACATGATGACTAAGAGGCTGGTGGAGCAGCAGCATTGGAAGTGTTGCAAGCTGGCTGGGATGGCTCTGAACTGAGAGAGCAACATATCCTTAGGCCAACAATCCGAGGGGGAGTTTGTTGGTGCAACCCTATAGTTTGCACTCGGCTTGTTGTCCGTGTGCGTGCATGTGTGTGTGTGTATGGAATGGTATGAGGGCATGGGATAATATATATTTCATGCTTATAATTGTGTGTGAATGTTGAGTCATGATGTCGAGTGTGTGTGTCGAGTCAATCGCGAGATATCGCTAGACGCGTGTTACGCGGTCGTTTGTCTCTCGCGCGCGGTTTCTATTTTGTCCTGTGTCGAACGTTCGGCGTGTCGCAGGTATGTGTAGAAGACTCATCAAGAACTCAAGGATGAGTTTGTGATGAAGAGCCTGAGCCTTGGTGTCAAGCCTCAAGTGATTTCGAAGCTCGCCAAAAGGGTGCACCTCAAGATATTGAAGATAGTTGCATTACTTTGTGTAGTGTAACATTTCACTTGGTGTAGGCCCTAGTGAAGGGTAGTTTCGAGACCCTTCGTGGTTGGGGACAGTGTAGCACTGTTCCACATCACTGTACCTCGGCTCTTGGGGTTTGTTGGAGCTGGGAGTCATTCCCAACTCGTAACTCTTCCTAACTCTTCCTATCTTGTGTTCTAAGACTATGTTGCTGCCATAGTACCGCTCGTTCAAACCGACGTTGTGTCGTCAGTGCTGAATGAAAACGTGTGATTTAAATTGCCTATTGTAGGCAACGTTAAGCCGCTCTAGATCCAAGTTGAATGAAGTCATTTGGAGTTGTGAGCAGATCGCTATGAACGTTTGAAGCCGCTGTGCAGAAATCCGACTGTGCACTCTATCTTTCGTTTTAGGCACATTGGAGCCTGCTGTGACTATAACAATACGGCACCAGAGACTCTATAACAAAGGGTGTGTAACCCACCACAGCTTAGTTGCGGGGGAAAGGGGACACGCGCGTAGCATTGTATTTCGGTTTCGGTCATAGCTGTCAATTGTGTGCCTTTTGAGTGCTGGCGCCGTCAGTATGAGCCAGAACAGATCGAATGCAGTGATTATTCTTACCAACTTCAAAGGAGATGCCAGGGACAAGGTATCTTCGAGCTTTGATAGAAGTAGCAAACAGGGAGGAGAGCTCCTGTAGGCCAGCAGCTTTGCATTTGAGTTGCGACGGACTCAATGGGTTTCGCATATGGGATGGTGTGACATGTGAACATCGTGCGATTAGGAACCGGCGTGAGGCATAACGATGCAAGCCGTTACATCACGCATGCGACCGTGTCTAGAAGGCCTCAGTAATATGCTTCGCATTGTAGTAGAACAAACTGGTTTGTTGCCCATGCTTGTTTTCTGACAGAGTAGAAGCAACATCGTAACACCCTGTCATAATCGAACACAAGGCGGCGCGAAGGGCGTGGAGCGCGAAGCGTGTGGAGCGAGCTTGTGTTCGACATTGCATAGGCTCAACGCTGCGCCTATAATTCAGATTTTGCACGGTTTGCAACGCCTCGAACCTTGCCTACTAGATCCGTTTGGAATGCAAGGCATAGCGCCACGCTTCTCGCTTAGGCACGGAATGCCTGATGCACAAGGCCGCCTCCGCTCGTTTCCACACGGAATTCAAGGCACAGTGCCGCGCCTGTTCTTTTTCACACGGAATGCAAGGCATAGCGCCGCGCCTCCTCGTATTCACACGGAATGCAAGGCACAGCGCCGCGCCTGCTCGTTTTCACACAAAATGCAAGGCACAGCGCCGCGCCTGCTGGTTTTCACACGGAATGCAAGACACAGCACCGCGCCTGCTCGTTTTCACACGGAATGCAAGGCACAGCGCCGTGCCTGCTCGTTTTCACACGAAATGCAAGGCACAGTCACCCGCCTGCTCTTTTTCTCACGGAATTCAAGGCACAGCAGCGCACCTGCTTGTTTTCACACGGAATCCAAGGCACGCTGATGCGCATGTTCGTTTTTACACGCAATGCAAGGCACAGTCCCGCGCCTGCTCGTTTTCACACGGAATACAAGGCACAGCGATGCGCCTGCTCGTTTTCAGACGAGGTGCAAGGCGCAGCGCTGCACCTGCTCGTTTTTACGTGGTGCGCAAGGCACAGTGCCGCGCCAGCTCTTTTTCTGCCAGAGTGCAAGTCACAGCGCCTCGCCTGCTCTAATTCGTTTGAAGAGCAAGGCACTGCACTCCCATCCCTCTGTCCCTCCCTAATTCATCTTTCCTCCAATCCCTCCGCAATTCCCCTTCCCTATGTCCCAACTCGTTTCCCCATTTCCAGTCGTGCATTCGCGCCTCCTGACTTAGCCGCCAAGACCCCCGACGGGCTTGATTTGCCCGACGCCGTAAGTGTATGCTGGTGTGAGTGTCCCCGCTCAGGTGTGTACGTGGTGTGTGTCTGGTGTTCACCTGTGCGCCCCCACCTACCTTGCTCATACCATCACACCTATCACGCTTCTCTTCACAACCTTCCCACATCACTTATCCTCTTCACACCCTTTTGAGGCTTGAAAGAGGGGTTGATCAGCATTGGGGCTCATGGAAGGTCGCCGTCCCACACGCCCTCGCTTGCCCTTTTTCCCAGCCATTCCCCCTATGTCCAATGTGTCTGCCCCAAGCCACCCGTGCGAAGGGACATCAGCAGCCTAGGCCCGGCCCAGGACTCACTCCCTGCCTCTGCCCTCCTCTGCCCCTCTTCTTTTCACCCTCCCAAAGAACCAACCGGATTGCCTCTTCCCTCTGTCCCTCTCGATTTCCCAGTCCTGCTGTCCCTTCCCCATTTCCCCTTCCCTCTGTCCCTCCCCATTTCCCCATCCCCCTGTCACTCCATATTTCCCCTTCCCCCAGTCCCTCAGCATTTCCCTTTATCCCTGTCACTCCCCTTATCCCCTCCCCCTGTCCCTACCCATTTCCCCTTTTCTCTGACCTCCCCATTTCCCCTTCCTGTACAAACTCAATTCCCCTTGCCCATCACTCCCCAGTTCCCCTTCCCTTTGTCCCTTCCCCATTTCCCCTTCCCTCTGTCACACCGCTTATCCCCTTGTCCTGTCACACCGCTTATCCCCTTCCCCCTGTCCCCCCCCCATTTCCTCTTTTCTCTTACCTTCCCCATTTTCCCTTCCAATACCAGCCCAGGTCCCCTTGTCCCTGTCACTCCCCGTTTCTCCTTCCCCCTGTCACTCCATGTTTCCCCCTCCCCCAGTCCCTTAGCATTTCCCCTTGTCCTATCACTCCCCTATCCCCTTCCCTTTGTCCCTCCCCATTTCCCCTTTTCTATGACCTTCCCCTGTACTAGCCCAAGTCCCCTTGTCCCTGTCACTCCCCATTTCTTTCTTTCCCTGCCACTCCATGTTTCCCCTTACCTCAGTCCCCCAGCATTTCCCCTTGTCTTGTCACTCTCCTTATCCCCTTCCCCTTTGTGCTTCCCCATCTCCTCTTCTTTCTCACACCACAATTTCCCCTTCCCTTTTGTCCCTCCCATTTCCCCTGCCATCTGACCCTCCCATTTCCCACCCCCCTTGTCCCTCCCATTGCCACTTTCCTCTGTCCCTCCCAACTCCCCTTCCCTCTGCCCCTCCCCATATCCCTTCTCTCTGTCGCTCCCCATTCTCCGTTCCCAACACTGCATGTTACCCCTTCCCTCTGTCTCTCCCCATTTCCCCTTCCCTCTGTCCCTCCCCATTTCCCATTCCCAACACTCCATCCACCCTTTCCCTCTGTCCCTACCCTTTCCCCTCCCCTCCGTCCCTCCACATTACCCCTTCCCTCTGTCACTCCCTGCTTCCCTTTCCAATACACTTCATGTGTTCTCTCCCCTCCGTCACTCCCGATTGCCACTTCCTCTGTCCTTTACAAATCCCCTTTTCTATAACCCTCCCATTACCCCTTCCCTCTGCCCCCCCCCCCTCCCCCCCCCCCCCATTTCCCCTGCCCTTTGTGCTTCCCCATCTCCTCTTCTCTCTCAAACCACCATTTCCCCTTCCCTTTTGTCTCTCCCATTTCCCCTGCCATCTGTCCCTCCCATTTCCCACCCCCCCTTTCCCTCCCATTGCCACTTTCCTCTGTCCCTCCCAATTCCCCTTCCCTCTGTCCCTCCCCACATCTCTTCTCTCTGTCGCTCTCCATTCCCCGTTCCCAACACTGCATGTTACCCCTACCCTCTGTCTCTCCCCATTTCCCCTTCCCTCTGTCACTCCCCATTTCCCCTTCCCTTTGTCCCTCCCCATGCCCCTTCCCACTATCTCTCCCATTTCCCCTCCCCTCTCCTCCCACTTTCCCCTTCCCCTTTCTCTGTCCCTCCTCATTTCCCCTACCCTCTGTCCCTCCCCATTTCCCCTCCCTCTGTCCTGCCCCAATTCCCCTTCACTCTGTCCCTCCACATTACCCCATCTCTCTATCACTCCCTTATTCCCTTTCCCATACACTCCATGTTACCCCTTCCCTCTCACTTCCAATTGCCACTTCTTTTGTCCTTCCTCAAATCCCCTTTTCCGTAACCCTCCCATTGCCACTTCCCTCTGTCACTCCCATGAATCCTTCCCTCTGTCCCTCTCCATTTTCCCTGCCCTCTGTCCTTCCCCATCTCCTGTTCTCTCTCTCACTCCCATTTCCCCAACCCTCTGTCCCTCCCCATGCCTTTCCCACTATCCCTCCCATTTCGTCCGCCCAGGATTCGGGCATCAAGTTCGGTCACATCAGCTTAGCCACTCGTGTCCTGCATATAACCCTTTCACACCCTTGCTTGCTTCCTCATCTGACATTCCCCCTCTCTTCCCTTGCGTCCCCCCCAGCCATCACGGTCTGTAGTCCGATAGCCTCTCACTGCTCGCATGGGTACTAGTAGTAGCACCAACCAGCCCACCTGTTAATCACAGCGATGTCCCCCAACCGCCGCCTGAATCGCCCGAACTGCCTCCCCCTCCTCTCCTCCCCCCATCCCTCCCCCCCAACACTGTCCCTCCCCATTTCCCTTCCCTCCATCCCTCCCCATCTTGCCTTTCCTCTGTCCCTCCCTAATTTGCCAATCCCTCTGTTCCTCCCCATTTTTCTTTCCCTCTGTCCCTCCCCATTTTGCCTTCCCCTCTGTCCCCGAATTCAGATACGCCTGCGGCCCCCCGCTGACTTAGCCATCAAGGTACCTGACGGTCCTGATTCTGATGACACTGCACGTGTGTTCTAGTGTGAGTGTCCCCAACGTATGGTGTGTAGTGTGCCTGCTGTTCACCTATGCGCTCCCACTTACTCTCCTCAGATAGCCTCTTCACAACCTTCCCAAATCACTCGTCCTTCCAATAACCTTTTCACATCTCCCATCTTGTACACGACCTTTCCATGCATGAAAGTGGTGTGGATCTGCATCATGGCTCGTGGAAGATTGCCGTTCAAAACGCACGCCTGCCCATTTTCCCACCTGCTTCTCCTCAATTCTGTCTCACGCAAGCCACCAGTGCGAGCGTGCATCACCAGCCTTTGCCTGTCCCGGGACCCATTCCTTGCCTCAGCCCTACTCTCAGCCTGTAATTGACCCATGCGTTGCAGTCCATAGCCCTCTCGAGCACATATCACAACATCGGCTCCAGCCACCCCGCCCTACAGATGACCTCTTCACACCCTTGCTTCCTCCCTCCGCGTCCATTCCCACTCTGTCCCCTTACGCCATGGGAGGCATCACGGTCTATAGACCACCAGCCTAGCCCTAAACGCGTGTCTTCTAGAAGCACCAGACAGCCCACCTGCCTCTCACAGCAATGCGCCTTCAAGCCGTTCGAATGATTGGCAATGCACATTGCTGCCCCTTATCGCCCCTCATCTCCCCAATCATCCCAAATTACCTGTGCTCTTCACAACCTTTTCAAATTACATGTCCTCTTCACGACCTGCCCCCTCCCCCCCCCCTCCCTCCCCTCCCCTCCCCTCCCCTCCCCTCACCTAACCCACCCAGCTGTTACAAACCCCGCTGAGAAATCAAACGCTCCCGCTACCCTCGACTGCCGTCACTATCTCAACTCTGTCGTGCCATCTCTCTTGCAACCAGCATAGCACTCTTTCTCCATCGCTATTCCCTTTCTCACCCTTTTGCCAGGCGGAGCTCACATGTCTGGCACATAGAGGGAGGGTGGCGATGAGGGTACTCGCCGTGCTGCCTTAGTGCCGGATGGTGAAGCCAAGGAGACTGCGACATCCAAGGCATTGCACAAGTTGCTACACAAAAGAAAACTCACTCTCAAGTGTCACTTGACCATACCATGGGCCATCCTACGCTGCGGATTGGCAAGCCTCATGGGAGGTGGTTGCGTGCCGCGAGATAATGATATGGTATTCTTGTTCATCGAAGCCGCCCCCGCTCTTGTTGACTATTTACTTGACGCAGCCTCTGCTGCAGGTATGACAAACGAATCAACCATACTCTTTTGCCCCATCCTAATGTCTTTCCACCTCATCCTTGTCATCCAGTCGCCCAGATGCACATCTGTTTCAATGTGACTAACCTATCTGTTCATGTTTTTCCATTATTTTCAAGCACATATACATCGCAACCCATCCCATCCTACTGCCCGCATGCCCATCCCTTTCAAATCCTCAATCAGATTTGCATCACAATCTCACCCTAAATCCATCATGCTGATCGCATGCTCATCCCTGTCAATGTGGGTGACATCCGGCATGGGTGACGGGAGGGGCCGACACATGCCGACAAACAGGGGAGGTGCGACGAATATGGTGGACAAATCAGCTCCAACAACGACAGCTGCCACAAAGTGAGATGGACAGGCATGGTTACCGCAAATGACGTTTATGCGTTCATAACTTTTATCTACTATTTGGAGATGTTGTTGAACATGCTGGTTGGAGCAAGATTTCTAACGCAAACATCAATGTGTCCATGAGCCCCAAATGCCCAACAGTGAAGATCCCGGACATCAGGGTTTTGGATGCGGTGTCCCACAGGCTGGCCATCTTCACCAAGCCTTCTTAACATTAGTATGGGTACTATGTGCTACTTGGAAACTATATGGTTTGTAAGGTTGATGCTGCTCTTCTCTCTTCAGTGCACTACTGGTGTAGCGTGCAAGGGAACGATGCTTTTACAGTCATGGAAGAAGTCTTTGGGGGTATTTGGGTTGTTATGGAGGTGCTTGAGGTGTAAGCACACTAAAGTTTGGTGGAATTGTAATTGTGAGGTGGATGTGGGTCAGGCATCAATGAAATGGCCAAAGATGCCATGGCTCACCCGCACTGTGATGGGAGCATACGTGATAAGTGGTTGTGGGTACTAGACTCTGGAGTCCGTGTCACGCAACCTCGGTATCCCGATCCTTGCGGTGGGAAAAATCTATTGGTATATGAAGAGCGTGCATGGTCTTTGGGCTAGTATTGTGCGTCATAGTGAGTTATCGATGGCGAAAGCGAGAGAGGAAGTCAAGAAGAGGGGTGATAAAAAGTTATGGATCACCGCGGATGGAAAGTGGTCACAAGTGAGAGAGGGTGAATGGTGTATAGTATCGCTGATGGATAGGGAGACGCGCGAAGTACTTCACTGCGTAACAATCAACAAGCATCGGCACAGCATTTCCTCAACGGCAATGGAGAAGGTGGCTTTCGAGCAAGCGATGCGTGAACTGTCAGCGTTTGGGTTCAAGGTGGACGGAGTGATAACTTGTGGGGGAACTAGTTTCAAGACGGTGGTGGCTTCCATGGGGTTGGAGCATCAGCAGGACGTGTGGCATATGGCCATAACACTTATCAAGGCATTGCTGTAAGAGTTGGTGGATGCTCGCAAAGACGACATCATGACTGTAGAGGATGCACGGACCATAGAGGACCTTTGGCACATCAAGAAACCAGCGTTATTCAGATGGCTTGAAAAGACGGGGAGGAAAGGGCGGCTGATGGTGTTGTCCACCAGGGAGGCACTTATAAGGGCGGTGTGCTTCGGTCTTGGCACCATCGCTTTCAAGGTCATCGATCCTTCGGAGGCGTCCTATAAGTATCCAGAGTTGCGACAAGTGGTTGTACGAATGTCTGGGACAGACACTGCAACAAATCATCTTGCCGAGGCGATTCGGACACTTGATGATGCGCCGCCAGTGCCGTCGGAGTGAGATACAGAGGATGGCAGCAATGCGGTGGTGTTCGAAGACGTGGCTCAGATGTTTACCTGGGACCCACACCCAGTGTACGGGGCACGCCCATCCTCATACGCATCACTGCTGTTGGCCCAGGAGGTAGCTGGGCGATCGGACACGGTTGCGGCAGCTATAGATACTGTAGCTGAAATGACGGAGCAAGGTGAGACGCTCGACATTCTATGTGTGAACACATGCACATGTGTTTTTTATTCGCGTAGTCTCTGTCACTGATCTCCCTCTCCACCGCTTCACATTCATTCTTTTGTGTCTCGTATGTCAATGCGGTTCCACGTGGCGTTTGTTATTGCATTGTGCTTGCCTGACATGCATCTCCCCTCTTGCAACGGCCCGTGTGTAGAAGAAGTTACGGCCACTCTGGCAGAGATTGGGGAGGTCAGGGATCGCGGGTGGTGGGACAACACGGGGGAAAACATGGAACATAGTATTCAAACACCGATAAGTTGTGATGCCCAAGCCAATGTTAAGGCCAAAGAAGGGGACAGGCGGTGGGTGCGCAAGGCTAAAAGAAGTAGGTGCGCTAAACCTACGGAGACAGGGGGTACTGATGGGGGTATTGATCCACCCGAAGGCATGGCAGTTGTTGAAGAAGTCAGTGTTGCCCAACGGTACAACATACACTTTCATCATGTGATGACGCGGTGTGCCACACTTGCTAAAGAGGGCCGGCCCATGTCCCCGGGTAATGTAGCAGATGACTTGCTTTATCCGCAGAGCATTGGCCAGAGATCACTCAAGATGTGCACGGCATGGCATTGTCCCAAGATGTGTAGCCAAATCGTGGGGTCCCGAGAGTGCGGTGTGTGAAAGAACGAGGAATGAATGAACTAGAAAGTAGGTGGGTACAAATAGGAAAACCTAGAAGTGTTGTACCCCATATTGTCTACCCCACTACAGCCTACACAGACTATAGCATATGAGTTTGACACGGTGTACGAACTCGGTGGCACCACACATCTTGCTTTTCGCAAGTGGCTAAGTAAGCATTGCAGCGCGGAGAAGATGCAACCATTCGTGCTAGGAGCGTCGAGCTGGGTGAACGAGTCCTTTCACTTCGTCGTATGCAAATATGCGCCAAAGAGAATTCACTTTCGTGGAAGTATGTATGCAAGGAATGCGCTCTCCATGCTTCATTGGAACAACACAGTCGAGCGTCTTGTGAGAAGACATATTGTGAGGCTACGGCGTGCAACGCGTGTGCGATGAGGGAAAAAGGGTCGCGTGCTTGGGCCAATGAATTGGCAATGGACCAAAGATATTTTCAACGAGTGGCGTCTCTCCTCCGCCATCACACCTTAGAGATATTCAATCATCGGGTAAGTTACGTTGTTGTTATCATTGTTGTATAGAAGTGCGTTCATTGTACGCCGTAAAAGACACCATGTGTGTTCATGCCATTTCATGCATCAATCTTAACCATACTTTTTTAACCATGCTTTTGTGTAGGACTGGGTGCGGACATAATGGGAAGGTCATCCGTGTCATCACATAAGCGGCAGCGAAGCGTCCCACAAGAGAAGTGCATTACAAGGTACCTTTCACACAGTTTGGTGTCGAAACCACTCCGCACACACCCGTCCTCCACCCCCCACCCCTTCCCCCTTCCCTCATTGTCCCAAATTTCACCCCCCTCCATCGCTGTGTATGCAACTCCATCCCCCCCCTCTCTTCTCCCCCATCTCCCCCGTTTCCCCCTTACCCTCCGGTGCACATATAACTCTCTCCTCCCCATTCCCTCGCACTCACACCTCCACCTACCCTTGCTTCCACTCAACCCTGCTTTCACTCATATCCACCCCTGCTTCCACTCATTTCCACCCCTCCTTCCACTCATATCCACCCCTGCTTCCACTCATATCCACCCCTGCTTCCACTCATTTCCACCTAGCACCCTGTTCTTCACAAGGGTGACTTGCCGTAGTGCCGTCACCCAAAACGGATCCCGCAGCCCTACACGCCCAAGGAGAGTGCGAGCACCA